ATTTAAAAAAAAAAAAAAAGAAAGAAAAATCACACACCAACGTATGTATATATTATATTCATTTTAGATACATTATATATTCCTCAGAGATTTTAAATACTAAAAACAAAAAATAGAAACAAAATTTCTTAGAAATAATATAAATTTCCAGATTTAACTACTAACTCAATGAATGAAAAACTAAACAAGTATCAAAAAATTTGAGGAGACTTGGGATAAAACAATATAACCAGAGATCACATATAAAGCAGTCAGAATCAAAATGGTATCAAACATCTTAAATGAGAAACAATATATATTAGAAGATAACAGAAAATGAAACCATTAGAGGATGTGTTTCACCAAAAGTGGGCATAAACCATGAGAAATGAAGAACAGGATTCAGGAAGCAGGGATTCAAAGGAGAGAAGTCAAATGAATTCCTAGGATGACACAGCAGGTTTAGAGAAACTACCTCAGACTGCAACAGAAATACAGAACACTCCAGGAGATTTACCACCAAGAAAAAGAGTGGAGCAAACAAATTGGCTGATGTGCTTAACTGTCTGGGGAAGAACTATTAGGGCCCATAGAAAATTAATCAAATGAAATGTTTACCAATTCAACAGGAGAGGGGGGAAAGCTGTTCGAGAAAGGAAATCTAATTATAGTGTACCGCGTGTCTCAGCTGTAAACCTATTTGCATATTGTAATACCAAAACCTGTTGCTGTTGAGTAGATTCCGACTCATAGTGACCCTACAGGACAGAGTAGAACTGCCCCATAGAGTTTCCAATGAACGCCTGGTGGATTAGAACTGCTGAACTATTGGTTAGCAGCCATAGCACTTAACCACTGCCACTACGGTTTCGACATATTGTAAAAACTATGCGTAAATAGTTCTGTATTAACTATGTGTGTACGACTATGTGCAATAATAACCAGTGTAAATAAAACTAATCTCAAACTGTGATAACTCTTTTAGAAAAATGGGTATAGGGGAGGTATGGGGAATAGTGGATGTAAAAAAACTAAATTATCTTTCATAGTAGGAAATCAGTAGGAAAATCAGCAGATAAACCTAGAAATGGCAGTATATAAGCATGTTAGTTAAAGATCATTACCGGAAGTGTGAAGTTAGAACACCTGAAAGTGTGTTTGTCTGGAGTGGGAGACTTGGGAGGAGAGGGGAGATAGGACAGAGGTCTCCCACTTTTTCATTAAAGCTTTATTTGGCACATGCACTGCTTTAATAAAATAAAAATTAAAGAATGAGAGTGTACTTTTACTTCCACAAGTTAACAGATACCAAGATCAAGCTCACTTTCAATGGCAGAAAATTATGGAGCTTTTATTATATTTATATATTTTTATTATATTTCATTTGTATTTGTATATTGTATGTATCTTTTACATATTTTATATTTTGTTGAGAATCCTTTTTCTTCATTTATTGACCCAGAATAAGTCAAAGGTAGTTCTGTGTTAGAAATAAGGTAATTTTTTAGGAGAGGCAAAGAGTCATTTCTTTGAGAAAAAGGTGTCTTCTGAATTAGAGCTATCAAGATTAGGGTCATAATCTTGATTTTTATAATATATATATAGATAGCTAATTTAAAAACTTAAGAGTTTCTTCTTTGAATTTGATTTTGCATATTGGGTTGACTAATGTATTCTGTATGACCTATTCAGTAATAATCCTAAGTGGCAGAATAATGATAAATGCAATGTTTGAATAAAGGTTCCAAATAAATAATGAGTACTTAACTTTCAACACTGCTGGGTGGTACATATTAGAGAATAGGTAAGAGTAAGGTAAGTAAATAGCTGTAGACAGAATTAAAATGAGATGACTAAAACAGAAGAAATGTTTAACAGATACTGAACTATAATATAAAAGAATACCATAAAGCCACCCAGAATGCCAAAATAACCCTAACACCACAGACCACCCTGATGTCCAGGAGTCAATACATGCAATACGGAAGGGACCTAGAGTTCACACCTACTGTCTCAATTACGCTCACGCAGATGGGCATCATCTGTGAACCTGAAAAATAATCATATCCACAAATACAAAAACACATCCACATACTCTGTCAACACCTATTATTTCAGTGGTTTATAAATGCTATAAGCTTCATAGGATGTGACATTTAAATCACAAGTATATGCATAACCCTTTGAATAAAGTAAGAATCCCATGAGACTATATTGATAATAAATAAGGTGGGGAAGAGGAGATCGAAAATTCTTCCTCATAGAAGCTGCTGTTGTTGGGTGCCGTCGATTCCGACTCATAGACCCTATGTACAACAAAACGTAACACTGCCTAGTCCCGTGCCATCTTCACAATCGTTGTTTGAGCCCTTATAGTAGAATGCCAATTAATAAATGTAGAATAAGAGAGTTAGAAAATCACACTTTTAAGCTCTCACAGAAATAATTTATTCAGGCAAAAACCAATCAAAGGATGCTAAAATCATAGTGAAATTTTGATGAGGAACAGATATTTACACAGTCTCAAGGTATCTCTCTGTAAACTACTTACTCATTTCAAAGAAGAAAAATCCTAACTTCACAGGGAAGACATCTGGTGGACACTATCTTACAGAGTGATCAGTTCCCAGCACTTTATAATAAGGACACAAACCAATATGACATGCCTCCTGACGCAAAGCACTGGCGAGAGAGCACAACATCATTTATGTTGTGTTTCTGCCAAAAGTACATAACCTTGATCAAACCATGAAAAAATATCAGGCAAAAACAAATTGAAGGATTATCTACAAAATAAATGCCCTATCCTCTTCAAAAATGTCAGTGTCACTAAAATAGAGCTAAGAAACCATTCCAGATTAAAGACGACTAAAGAGATAGGAAAACTAAATGCAACATGTAACCTAGAATGGATCCTGGATCAAGAAGAAAAATTAAGGTAAAGGAATTACTGAGACACCTGGTTAAATCTGAGTAAGATCTGTAGGATTATATCAATGTATTACAGACAGCATTATAGCAACAATAAGTTTCCTGATTTTGATCATTGCTCTGTGGTTCTGTAAATGGATGGACTACAGTCAAGAGTAAGGGGCATGATCTCCGCAATTTACTATCAGAGAATTAGGAGAAAAAATATACAGATCTGTATGAGAAAGGAAGAAAGAATAGAACAAATGTAGCAGCATGTTAACAACTGGAGAATCTGGGTGGGGTACACAGGAGAATACTTTGCACCATGCTTGCAACTCTTCTGTAAGTTTTAAATGGTTTCAAATCAGTTTTTTTTTTTTTAGGATAGGAAAATTGTACCATAAAAGTATGCATGTGTGTGTGCATGCTTCTGGAGAGGCCCTGGCTTTCATACCAGTAAACACCCCCCCAAAAGGGTCAAGAACTAATACATCCCCTTTCCATGATTTCTTACATTTCTACATTTAGTCATATTCTCTGGCTCATATAAATGGTATTTAAATTCAAATAGCAAAGATAAAAATCTTATCAAGTGAGATAGGAAGACTTCCTGTTAGTCTGAGTATCAGAAAAAATAGTTTTAAGAATAATGCAGTAAAATTTAAATACTGTAGAAATAATAGCTTTTGATACATTAGCAATGAATTCTGTTCTTTCTTCAGTCTTTAAAATCCACTAGTTGCCTCCAAACAGTTTTCTCGTTTCTTTTATGATCATTAATTCAGGAAGTATTTATCAATTTTAACCAAACAGTGCTCACTTGCTAGAGGAGAAAAAACTGTAAATATTCATTAATTAACCCTTTTCACTGAAACTAAAATATATTTATTACATTGAAAAGTTTATTCATTGTGGCTGAGAGAATAGAATATGATTGTGGGTGGGAAGTGTATAAATAGTAAAACTTAAAAATAATCATTTTAAAATATCACATGCAATGCCATAAGAAAATGGATTACAATTCTGCTTTACTTTCATTTTTACAGTTTCCTTTTATGCACATTACACATATCATAAATACACAATGGTAATACAAAAATTTATACGCAAGTCCAAGTAATTTAACATCTACAAAAGGGAGATACTGAACTTGATTTCTGATACTTTTCTGTTTAAATACTTTTAAAATTCAGTTTTCAAGGAGACAACAAATCAAAAGCCATTAATTTTTCACAGAGCTTTATGTTCATGTAAATTTACCATTCAAGTATATTTTTATCGAAACAAGAAACCATTTCACTAGTTGCAAAGTCAAAATGAATAAGCCATGATGTTGGACAAAAGAGAACTTTATCTCTACTTTCGTCTGCCTACAATCAGCCTTGTAACATACAAAACGCAGAACATGACAGTGATTTTTAACCTTATGCTATTAAACGCCATGTTAGACAATGCACAGTGCACCATGTATTGTTTGTTTATAGAATCTTATAAAAAATTAATAAATACTAAAAATAGTCATAATTAAAAATTTTATTTTTCCTAATTTCCTTTTTACTCAATTTTCAAAACAATACATCTTCTTGATTGTGTTTGGCAACTGGATACCATATTTGAAGGAATAATTTAAACATCCTAAGGACAAAATATATATATACACAGATATATAAAAACTGTAAAAGATCTTGGTATTGTTTAATTCAGATATAATTTCAGTTTTACAGTTATCAACTGCAGCAAATATAAAGAGCTTTAAAATAATATTCCTCACCATAGTGTTATCGTATTAGGTGAACTGTTGAGGCACAAGAACATTAAGTGACTTGTCTGAGGTCAGGAAGGGAATGAAGAGCAGATCAAAGAGCAGGACTTTTTTAACTTAAGCATCTGTACGTTGGGTTACGTCCTTTTTCACAATTAACTTAATGCAACAAATATAAAAATCAGATGCAGTACTCAGGAATGCTTGTTTAACCTGAATTGTTGTTATTAATGAACCTAACTTCAAGAATCCATATGTTTTATCATACATTATTAGGAACTTACAAATGAAATATGATCATTTTCTGAATTACCAGGCATGTAATGAGTGTTCTGACACAACTGATTGCAAAAACAAAATTAAAACAACACAATTTTGAACAAACAAGTTCCAAGAAAGATACTTAGTAATGTGATTTTTAAAAAATACTAATTATAGACACTACAAAATTTATAAGTCAGTACCATAGAACCAAACATATCAATATAAATGTATTAAATCATATTCTAGTTGATCTTTTGTTTTTTATGAAAACGTTCTAACAAAGCACTCATAATGTTTCCTGGTATTCTTTGGTGCTTATCAATCAAAGCTTGAACAGCATTCTTTGTCTATGAAGAAAACAAAAGAAAATCTATTATTATTTTAGTTCTCAATATAGATCATTTATTATGTAAAGATTTTTATACACTACTACTTTCAAGAAGTACTCCCTAATTTAGCCCCATCTCCTCCCAAAACTGAAAGGAAATGCATAATGCTAGTTTTGAGATGGAATTCCTGGGTGATGCAAAATGGTTAACGTGCTCAGCTGTTAACCAAAAGGTTGGCGGTTTGAGTATACCTCGAGGCACTTCAAGGAGCCCTGGTAGTGCAGTGGTTAAGCACTTGGCTGCTAACCAAAATGTCAGCAGTTTGAATCTACCAGCTACTCCTTGGAAACCCTATGGGGCAGTTTTACTCTGTCCTACAGGGTCGCTATGAGTTGGAATTGACTCAACAGCAGGGGGTTTGGTTTGGGGTTTGGTTAGAGGCACTTCAGAAGAAAGGCCTGGCAATCTACTTCCAAAAAATCGGTCACTGACAACCCTATATGGAGTATAGTTTTACTGTGACACACACAGGTTCGCTATGAGTCATGGTCCACTTGATGACAACTGGGTTTTTCTCCCCTCACAATTAATGATGTCTTCAGTACACCCCAAGCACATTACCCATACTGCTTTTATTATACCTTGAGTTACAGTTATTGCCCACATGACTATTTTCTACACCAAACTACAAGCTCCTTAAGACAGAAACATCTTAATATTTCTCCAGCATAGTGCATAACAATGCCTTGGACACAATAAACACTAAAATGAACTTAATAAAAACATGAGAGAAATGAACAACAGTAGGGAATTTTCCAGTAGGCAAATAGAAGTTTCAGTCCTTTCCAGCCATAAATAAACTCCAGTGTGTTTTTCCTTCATCATCATAAACACCAAACAATTACATCAGGCCATACAGTAGGAAAAGGTGAAAAAATTAAGAATGAGCTGACAAACTTCAGCTCATTACCTCAATTTCTAAAAAGTTTAACAGAAATTTTAATTAAGTCATAGCAACAGAAAAGTCAATTAGGATATATCAAGAAATCTTCTAAAATTATTTGATTCCCATTAAATTCATGGCAAATATCAACCTTTTATTACTTTTAAATCAGTTTATGGCTATTTAAAAAGGTTCTTTACTCACGTGGATAAGTGCACACATGCACACACATACACACTTCCTTTTTATACACTAACCTTTTTCAATGAGCCTTCTTTTCATAAATTTTGGTGCTTCATTTCTTTTTTAAGTAAAACTAATAAACCCTAGCCCAAAAATGTATTTTAAAAATATGTCTAACCAAAAAGGTTTTCACATCTGTAAAATGGGAATAGTACCTAGTTCACAGTTATTATATAGATTAAATGAAATTCAGATGATGTACTAAGGCGCTTGGCATAGTGACTGACACAGATTGTGGTCCATGAAGTGCAGCTTTGGAAGCTATAATGTTCATTAAACAAGTCTCTAAATAGAAATAACTACAAAATAATTAAAATGTAGGATCATTTGTAATATGTATCACCCAAGATGTGACAAGAAATTACTGTGAACTTCTAACTTGAGAGCCCTTTGGTGGGCACGGACCAGGGGAAGACCAGGTACTGTTTGGTCTGGGTCTCAAAGGATGAGAAAGATTTTAGGAACAGTGAAGGAAAAAGTATGAGTTAAAAAAAACCCACAAGAAAACAACTGTCTAAGGAACGACAAGTTAGTCAGTTTGGCTGAAGTCTCAGGTATGTATTCAAAACCTGGGGGATATAAACCTTTAAAATCAAGTTTTAATTAAATCATGAAGGGAGCTAAATACCAAGTGAAAATGTATAGACTCTGTTTAGCATGTACTGAGGTATCAAGGAAGGAGTTTTGGCTGAAGAAATATCAGTTCTATGCATTAAGAAAATACAACTCTTGTAAAGATTGCCAATGACTTCCTTCTGTCATTAAATTATAACAGGTTACAGTTCAGGTTCAGGGACACTCAGGATACAGTACTATCAAGATAGTCTCTTCTCAGCCGTGCTCACAGGCATGGCTCTCTCTGGCCTTTGGTCTCTGCCCTGCTCAGGCAAGTGTTACAAAGCTCTTCTAGCTCTGCTGATCGGTGTCCGAGGCACCCCACTCTGCCAGTAAGCCTCTGCCTGAAGGCGCTCAGCTCTAGCTCTGTGGGTCAGCAAACCTAGCTCCACCAAGTGCGTGGAAGCACCCTACTCCACTAGCAAGCCTCCTGCCCGCAGGCACTTAGCTTTCTCGCTCCATGGGCTGGGAAACCCAACTCTGCCTCTGCTGCCACCACTTCTCTGCCACCATTTCTCACCATCTTTAGCATTACAGCTCTCTGTTTCAGTCTCCTGGCTCTAGGAGCTTCTCAGTGCAAGGATCCCGGGTCCAAAGGACACACCCCACTCCTGGCTCTTTTTACTTGGTGGTGGAGAGATCCGCTCCTCCAACCTCTGGGATGGCTCATTGTAAGCCTAGCAGGATGGCAAAACTGACCAATCCCTTTGGTGGGCCACAATTACCTTATTTGCATAGTCCTACTCAATGACTTGGAAACCCTGGTGGCATAGTAGTTAAGAGCTTCGGCTGGTAACCAAAAGGACAGCTGTTCGAATCCACCAGATGCTCCCTGGAAACTCTACAGGGCAGTTGTACTCTGTCCTATAGGGTCACTATGAGTCGGAGTCAACTCGACGGCAACGGGTATTTTTTTCACTCAATCACTTGGGTGGGAGTTACAATATGACAGGAAGAAAGGCCATAAGAAAAGCAATCCATCACACTGCAATTTGGGAGTTAAAACTGATGGGTATTGCTGATGCCTTAATAGTACGTGTGTGTGTATCATAATATATAATATATATAAATTCTTTTACATATATTACATATGTACGTATTTGTGTGTGTGTGTATATATGTATACACACACACACACACACACACACACATAACATCAAAGGGCAAGGTTCCAACCATGGTATAAAGGTATTGGAGCTGTGTTTGAGAAGGTATTGTTTAAGGACCGAGGAGGAGTCATGCTGCTTGGAGAATATGTCCTGACCCTAATATAAAATGTTATAGGATTTTACTTTTAGAGTAGAAAAGAAATAAACTATGAGTATACTTAATGAACCAGTAGAATAACTGGAAGTAAGTTTTCTAAGAATGAAGTTCATAGATAAGAAAGCACACAACGCATCATCAGTGCTACCTTTCTGAAACTGCCCCCCCATCAGCTGCTCCATCTGAATCATGCCATCTAATGCAGTATTGTAGCTGATTCACTGAATACATCGTTTGCTAAGTGCCTGAATCTTGCTGGGTCCTGGTATGGCTGACTGTCTTACAGTCATTCATCACCTCTTCCACCAGGCCCCTCCCTACCAGGCCATACTGTGGAGGGATTATACATCCTGCCCACTGAACTTCAGTGTGGCCATGTGACTTGCTGTGGCCAATAAAAGGTAAGTGGGAGTGATGGGAGCCACTTCCAAACAGAAGCTTTCAGAGCTGCCTCATGGCTCCAGTCCTGGCCTTTTCCTTCTGCCATGCGAATGGCAGTGCCCCACATCAGGCTCTTCTTTCAGCCTGAACCCCAGAGTAAAGAGGGCATGAACAAAGCTGCAGCTGAGCCTCAGCGGAAACGTACCTCAAATGAGACACAAATTTTACCCATGAGCTTCTGGAATTTTGGGGTTGTTTGTTAGTGCGGCATTACCTAGCAAAGCTGACTGAATCACCCAGCCTAATATTTCCAAAAACCTACATATATATATTTCCAGATATCCTGCAGGTAACTATACAGAATTAGTTTTCAAATCTGGTGGATTCTACGTCTGTAAAAATCTTTCAAATCTGTACCTTGTTCTCCCTTTCAAACAGATAAGGGGGTCATTATCTTATTCATTCACCCACTCATCAAACATTTCTTGAGATCTAATTAAACACCTGACACTGTGCTGGGAACCAGAGACAGAAAACTAACATGATCTCTGCTCTTGAAGAGTATGCTTTCATTAATACGTAGCTACAATGCTGGATGGGAGGTCTAGGTATAATGAAAGCACACACACAAAAGGATTCTTATTACCCTTCATTTGGGCCACCAGAATTAATTTTATTCCCTTCTTGCAATCTTTCCTCCATCAATATTCTAAGTAAAGTAATAGCCAGTAATCTTCATAAACCACTGGAAAGAAAAAGGTTATACTTCTGCTTGCTTTCGCAAAAAAAAATCAGTAGAAGTGACAGTAGCGACCACTTCTAAACAGAAGCATATCCTAACTGAAATGTATTTGGTAGATAAATTTGTTAGTCTGAAATATAAGGCCCAGAAAAATGTGGTTTCTACTTCTCTTTGCCTTTCAAAACTCAACTCAAGCACTTCCTCCCTTGAGGAGGCTTCCCTGGTCTGATTTAGATAGCTTTCCTTTGTGCTTTCACAATACCCTAATACAGTGGTTCTCAAGCCCTGGGTTTGCTCCCAGGGGACATGTGGCAAGGTCTAGCAAGATTCTGATTATCATGACAAGAGTGGGCATCTAGTGGGTGAAGCCCAGGGATGCTGGCAAACATCCAACAATGCACAGGGCAGCAGCCCACAACAAAGAATTATCTCACCCAAAATGTCAATAGTGCAGAGGCTGAGAAGCTTTGCTGTTGGAATGCCATTATTGTAACATGCAACACCTTATAAACACTGACTTGGTTATTTATCACACCTACTGGACTGTAAGTTCCTAGGATAACAACGGCAGCCAGCACTCACAGAGCACTTACCACATGGCAAGTGTGATCTCATGCCATTCTCACACATAATTCTGAGTGGGGACTACATTCTCTTCCCTGCTTTGAAGATGAGGAGAGTGAGGCACGGACTGCTCAAGGTCACACAGCTGGCAAATAGTGGAGCCAGAACAATCTGACCCAGAGCCCACACTCTCAACCACTATTATTTTCCCACCAAGATATTTCTACAAGAAGGAATGATTTGTTTCTTTTCATGAAGGTTGAAGCTTTTTTTCTTCTTCTAACATCTCTTACTGAACTTTTAAATTATCAGTGCCTCAACCTCAGCACTATTGACACAGATAGTTCTTTGTTGTGGGGGCTGTCTTGTGCATTGTAGGATGTTTAGCAGCATCCCTGGCCTACCCACTAGATACCAGTAGCACTCCCCACTCTCAAACTCCTGTTGTGAAAATAATAAATGTCTCCAGACATTGTCAAATGTCAGCCCTAGTTGAGAGCCACTGACCTAGCATATATCAATGAATAGAAAATGACATCTTAAAATATAATAATTGAAAAGGCAAATATTTCCTAAGACTAAGAAAGAAAGAATAATTACCTTTTCAGCTAATTCTTCTGCTGTCATCTTTGGATCATACGGAATAGGATCACCTAAATAGGTACGTAACTTTACTGGAAAACCTCCATACATTGGACAAAACGGATAGCGGAATTTCTCATAAAGCCATCTAAACAATCCTGTTTTAAAGTAAACAAAATCATTTTAATTGGTTAAAGATTCTGAGCATGTAATTGTAAACTTCAAAATTTAATTCTGTAAGACTTATAAGGAAGATGGCTGAGAAGCGCCGCATAGAAATTAATACTTTTTGATGAGGTGATACTTTGCCATCTAATGCCATGTAACACTTTTTTAAAAGATGAGCTTTTAAAAATATAAAAACTTTAAAAGACAAACCAATTACTATCATAGCAAAATAAAGGGAAAGGCTGGCAACCAAAAGGCAGAAGCTGATGATTCTAGAAATCTCACAAATAAGTGAGTTAAATGAATAAAAGAAAAAATTATGGAAGCATAAAATAAGTTTATGTAAAATGAGACTGTAATGCACCAATACAATAGGCAAAGTAAGTAAAAACATTATTGTAATTAGGAAGAACAAAACTAATACAGCAAAGAATTAATTAATGCCAATGACCAAGTCTGAAATTCAGCAGGATTTAAAAAATAAGTGGTAATACTCTAAACTGATGGATGTAAGTTTTTAAAAAATTATCAAAAGAATCCAAAATTATACTCAAAAAAAGAAATCACTAGATACTCATTTTTAAGGTACTCAATTTTAAAGTCAGGAAAGTCAAAAAGCAGTCCAAAAACAAAGAAAGAAAAACACTTTACAATTAGAGAAACCACATTAGGAATAATTTCTGGCCCGCCACTTAATTCTGAAGAAGAAATGGACTGAGAAAAATTAGAAGAAATAATTCCACCACAAAAGTTAAATATCCCATTAATCTGCCCTTCTATTCTAAATTTGAAAAAAAAAAAAGGGGGGGAAATTAAGATCTAATGGAATCAAAAACATAATGCAATATCAACAATATAGCAAAGTTAGAAGCAATGGCAGGTTAAAGCTCTACAGGAGGAACTCATTAATAACAATCACTAAGATCACTAACAATAATAGTGCTAGGAATATAAAACAATCAATCGACAATAATATATAAACCACAGAGTACTAATACAAACTGAAAACTTCATAACAGAAAAGATAAAACATAGACATTGCAAAAAAAAAAAAAAGGCACATCTAATTGTTTTGCTTCTGTAACTAGATTCGAAGCTTATTTTGTTATCAATATACAATGATAGGCAAAAAGAACTTTTCAATGTAAATTTTGTATTATGATTCAAATTATTAAAATAACAAGAAGTGACAAGCGTGACAGATATATTTACAATAGTGACGAAAAAAAGTAGCTGCTGAGGCTGCTTATATACAACCAAACATCTCAGGGATTTGGTTCCTTGGTTTGGAGGTTTAGGGTCATGGTTTCATAGGACATATCACCTAATTGGCCTAATAGCATGTTAAGTGCTTCTGTTCTACCTGCTAGTTCGTTGTATATTGCCTGGGGTCTTCAAAGCTTCCAAGTGACCATCCAAGGCACAACAATTGGTCTCTATTTAGCAAAAGAGGAAGGAGAGTCAGGAATAGGAAGAGGATATGGAATGTATGGCTAATTGCCTCGATGAACAACTGCCTCCTTTGCCAAGAGACCAGAAGATATGGACGGTGCCTGCTATCACTACTGAACATTTTGATCAAAGATTCCATAGAAGAATCCTGATCAAAGGGGGAAAAATGCAGAACAGAATTTCAAATTCCTGGGGACTCTAGACTTTCTGGAGCAATGGGGGGTGGATGAACTCCTAAAACTATTGTCCTGAGATATTCTTTAAACCTTAAACCAAAAATATCCCCTGGCGTCATCTTAAAACCGAACAATAGTTAAGCTTAACTAGTAAAAATCTGCCTTGAGCATTATACTCTTTTAAGAACTATTTATATGGGATCAAACTGATAACAGCAAATTGAAAAATTAGACAGGAAGCTTAGGCGGCAGTGAGTTTCTGTTAATGAAGAGGGAACAACTCAAAAAAGGAGGGTGAGAATGGTTGTACAACTCAAAGAATGTAATCAATGTCACTAAATTATACATGTAGAAACTGTTGAACTGGTGTATGGTGTACTGTGTATATTCTCAACAACAATAAAATAAATAAAATGTAGAAGGGAAAAAAAAGACAAATGACTGAAGTAAAACAAAGCAAATGATATCTCCTTAGGTTGTTAATTTTAGTTCAATATCATATTATCATTCTTTTCTAAGCTGTAATTTCTTCAGGGTTTAGTTAAAAGGACAGTCTGGGCAATATGTAAATTTGTTCTAAACCTCAACAACATGGGTTAACACAATAAATTAGGTAATTTGCTCTGAAATTTTAAAAGCCATTACAAGTAAGTTTCAGTATGTATACAATAGTCTTAACAAAAATCTAAAGTCTAAGAACTACCATTAGCTAGAATCAGTTATCATTTAGACCTTTAAAAGAACAAAAAATATTTAAATAATATATCCATTTTCTAAAGTAATAATTCAGAAGGGTTACTTACAGAATTCAAAAGCCCAAATATTTTAAATACAGTATTACATTTTAAATATTACACTTAAGTTAGAAAAACCACATGAATCAGAACTTACTTGTTCCTCCTAATGATCGAAATCCTTCTCGAATATTTTGTGTAAACATAGGAATAATGGGCTAAAAAAACAGAGAATTCAAATTAAATATAAATACATTAATCCATTCAATGTCTCCATTGAGTCACTAATGCAAATTTTTGAGGGTCTGTTTGAAATTATGAAAATAAGATCTTTTAAAATAAAGTTACGCTTCACTAGTGTGATTTACCAGAACAAATTCAACTTAATCATTTGTAAAACTATAAATTGGAAACACTACCCTCTAGTGGTAACATATGGTATTTCACTTAGCACTTGGCTAACATTCCACATAAACCCATGAAACTCAAAATAGAAGTTACAGTAATCACTAGTCTCACTAAATAAAATGAATGTGGTAAATTAAATTGGTTTCAATGAGCTACTGAATAGTATGTTCACTGAAGTAAAAGTTGAAAGATAGTAGTCAGAGATTCTAAGAGGAAAGTTACATAAAATGAAAATGACATGGGTTTTGGCAAGATGCTGTCATAGAATTACCACTTTGGTGAGCATATTAAATCTAAAATGTTTAACATCAATGAAAAGCAAAAACTGAAAAAAAAGGAAAAACTATACATTAAAGAATTCTTTATATGATTAATTTTAGAGGATTTCGGCTCACAAGTTCATGATTTTTATTTTTCCATGAATATCAATGATTTAGATTTTTAAAAATGGAGACCTTAACTAAAGGTCATAAAATAATGAATAAAGTACCATATAAAGAGGTTATACCACTGCAAATACTGAGGTAGATAAAACATAAAACACTTTAAAAGGTACACAAATTATACTGAATTAAGGTTTTAGAATAGATAAACCTGCGTGTGTGCGCATGTGTACGTATGGCAAGGACCACGTTACTTATAGTCCACCATCAGTATTTGGCCAATACAGAATTATATGCCTTAATGAGAATTTGAAATATTCAAATAAGCTGATATTCAAAAAGTCATCCCTATTAAGTTTAGAAACAGTAAAATGTGGTGTACTGAAGAAAAGAGACTACAGGCACACCTTTCTTCATAAAACGTATTACCTCACATACAACTAAACAATTATTTATTGTATGTCTCTCCTTATCAGAGCAGAAGTCTCCTAATATCAGCGACATTTGTTTGTTCACAGCTGTATCCCCAGCACCTAGAACAATGCCTGAAATAGATCAGGTGTTTAAAAAAAAAGTGATGGGTGAATTAACGAATGAGTAAACAGAGCAGGTAGACCATGTTTCTAAAAACTTAGTTTGCCTTCTCTGAATACAAAGGATCAGAACTAGGCAGAAGAAATCTCAAAGGCAATTAGGAAGAGGAGGGAAGTTAGGTAAAGAAAAGCAGTCAGGCGAAGATTTAAAATTTGACGGAGCTAATTAACAAAGCTAACACATACGATGAAGTACACTGAACTGTTTTTTAAAAAATCATGGTCTATGAAACCACCACTAGTTTTATAAAATAAAATGATGGCTGAAATCCTAATGTTTTTAAATAGTTATAAAATGTCTTTAGAGTTGAGAACTTAGAATGTCCAAGGAGGAACAGAAAGATTTCAACTCCTATGCACATCACTTTGCCTCTTCCGGTCAGTACTGCAGGATATGTCTGCCAATGGCCTGACTTACAAAGTTTGTTATGAAGTATCTCTGTAAAGACTATGCAGGTTATGTGTCATCCCTTAAACAGTCAACTCTCTGGAGGCTGGACATCTCTGAAACCAACTAAACAAACAGGAGAAGGCTGACCCTAGCAGGTTCAGTGTTTCAGGCTATAGCCTGGGCATATGGTTTCTAAATTTGCATTCGACCTTACAGCCTTAAAGTCACAAGCATTACCCTACTACAGCTTGACACTGCAGTACAATTTTTCTCCTTTTCTTGTACATCCTTTGTACACAAAGTAATTGTGTAAGTAACCTAGAATTCTGTTTACATATATACATGTCTCTGTATGTATACGCGCACACACACGTGCAAGTGAGAGCAAGAGAGCCATCAACAGGGAAAGAGATCGAGAGAGCAAGAGAGCAAGAGAATGTATTTTTAAAAATTATTCTTGGGGAATCAGTTTACAATAGTCATGAAGTCTTAACCCTGGCACAAAAAAGTGGGAATCGATTCTGGGAAGATGGCAGCATAAACAGACCATCGATCCGACCCTCCCCTAAAAATACAACATGGAAATGGTGCTTGGCTTCGAGGGACTCCGAATCAGGAAGCAGAGTAAAGCAGCAGGGAACTGCAGATAGGCAAGAATCAATAAATCAACGAATTGCATACAGTAGGAAAACTGCTTCTCCCATCATCCCTGCCCCTCCCTCCAGCCACAGGGGTCACCGGTAGCTGTGAACTGGGGAAGTGGCCCCAGAAAAAAAGGCTGTTTCCCTAACCACCATAGCCCCTGCTTGTACCAAGAGATAGGACCCTAAGCTTCTGCTCTAAATCAACAAGGCAGACATCCTGGGGGCCCTTTTGGCACTTACACCACGCAGACACTGTCGGCTGCTAGCCTACTGCGAATTGGTACAGAAGGCCAGTGCAGTGCAGTCAGCTCCCAGTCAACAGTCTACCTGCCTTCCTGTGCACGCCACAGCTCAGGTCTCTGAAAACAATGGGATGTGTCTCCTGCGGAGTCAATTCTGGTCTGTCTGCATCCCCTTTGGTCAGTGCTGAGGACTGCTGACTGAGGCTACTGTGTGCTAGGAAGCAGGCATCTTTAGTGGACAACATACTATAGGGAGGGCTCTGATAGCAACAAGGCAGACACCCCTAGAGGTCTGTTTGGAGAGTGACAAGCCCTCCCCAACCCAGACACTGTCACCTACAAGCCTGCTGTGAATTGATACAGAAGATCCCCACAGTGAAATATTCTCCCATAGTCAGCATTCTACCTGCCTCCCTGCCCACTCCATTGCTCTGGACTCTGAAACCAACAGGACAAACCTCCCTGGGGGTCAATTAGGGTTAGTCTACCCCCACTTCCGGTTGGTGCTGAGGACTGCTGACGGAGACTGCTGTGTGTTAGGAAGCAGAAGTCTTGAGTGGAGGCTGCAATGGCAGCCAACAATCCACCAGAGGGACTCTGATAGCAACAAGGCAGACCTCCATGGGGGATCTGACCAGAGTATGACACCTCCTCCCCGACCTGGTAATTGCTGGTTGTCAAGCTGTTGCAAACTGCTACAGAAGGCTCCCTGCAGTGGAGCTGGCTCCACAGTCAGCACTCTACCTGCCTTCCTGTGCATTCCACAGCTCAGGCCTCTGAAACCAACAGGACAGACCTCCCTGGGGATCAGTTTGGGTCTGTCTGCTCCCCCTTATGGTCGGCGTTGAGGACTGCTGACTGAGGCTGCGGTGTGCTAGGAAGCAAGCATCTTGAGTGGAGGCTACACCCACAGCCAACCTACAGGGCGGGCTCTGATAGCAACAAGGCAGATCTCACTGGGGGTCCATCTGGAGTGTGACAACCCTACAACCAATTGGTAACTGCTAGACTGATACAAACTCCTACAGAAGATTCCCTATGGTGCAATCAGGACGTGGGGCAACCAAGTGGAGACTGCTCTCCCAACCACAACAGATCTCTCGGAGATCCTTCTAGGGACTGCCAGCCTGTCTTCCTCCTGAAATGGAGGAAAATATGCCTGTGCTTCCCCTAAATGCCAGTTCAGATATAAGCAGCCCCCACAGAGCAGGGAAGGAAGTCTCGGGCAAAACCAGAGGGCAACAACCAGCCCCACAGGGGCCTCACTGGGTGTGGAATTTCTGACTAAAAACATGCTTGCAGAAACAGAATAGGGAAGGGAGTAATAACCAGAGAGAGGGGACTGTGCCTCCTGGTGTACAGATTAATTAGTATACAATATTTCACCTGAATGGCAGTGCCTGCCAGTGGAGAGACTGAACACGTGTTCTCTGGTGTGTTTGTGAGAGACTGAAAAGTTGAAAACTGAGATCTAGAACTTCTGAATCCTAATTAAACCAGGGAGAGAGAAGCAGCTATCACAAAGAGGGAGAGGAAAAAGCAAAGTCCAAAGGCTCTGTCTGCCTGTTATGGATTGAATTATGTCCCCCAAAAAATGTGTGTATCAATTTGGCCAGGCCATGATTTCCGGTAATGTGTGGTTGTCTTAGACTGAATTATGTCCCCCCAAAAATGTGTGTATCAATTTGGCTGGGCCATGGTGCCCAGTGTTGTACAGTTGTCCTACATTTTGTGATTGTAATTTTTTGTTAAAGAGGATTAGGGTGGGACTGTGACACCCTTACTAAGGTCACATCCCTGATCCAATGTAAAGGGAGTTTCCCTAGGGTGTGGTCTGCACCACCTTTTATCTTACAAGAAATAAACGGAGAGGGAAGCAAGCATAGAATTGGGGACCTCATATCACCAAGAAAGCAGCGCCAGGAGCAGAGCGCGTCCTTTGGACCTGAGGTTCCTGTGCTGAGATGCTCCTAGATTATGGGAAGACTGATGACAAGGACCTTTCTCCAGAGCCGACAGAGAGAGAAAGCCTTCCCCTAGGGCTGATGCCCTGAACTTGGACTTGTAGCCTACTAGAGTGTGAGAGAATAAATTTCTCTTTGTTGAAACCATCCACTTGTGGCCTTTCTGTTATAGCAGCACTAGATGACTAAGACATAGCCTAAGAGTTTCTTGCAGAAAGTACTGCGAGCAAAAACACCAAATACTGGGGAAAACAGGAAGTTAATACTCTCGAAACTATCAATGTCCCAACAAAAAAAATAACAAGACATACAAAGAAAAGAGAAACAACGGCCGATCCAAATGAACATGACAAAGGGAGTTGAAAGCGCATCCAGCCAAAATCCCCTGCCTTTGAGTTGACTGCAACTCATTACCAAATAATGAAAAAAATGGAAGAATATAATACAACATTAAACATAATTAAAGAATTAAGGGAAAACTTAGACGAAGAGCTAAAAGAAATAGGGAAAGCAATGCAATAACAAAATGAGGATCTAAAAAAGAGGTACTGAAAGGGACAATAACTGAAATGAGAAACACAACGGAAGGACTT